AAGAATGGGGGAGAATGGGATAAGGGTAGGTGTGGGTGTGTTGAAGAAGATGAAAGATTTCGCGTGGGGTTGGGGATTGGAAATTTTATTTTTTTATTTTTCCTTTTTGGGTTTTAGTTTAATTATTTCATTTATTAATTTGTAATTGACGAAAATGCCTTGTTTAAATTGGTCAAAATATCCTCTCTTTTTTTCATTTTTGGGTCAATTAACGGTCAAATTGATGGAATCCCTCCATTTGGACCCCTAGTGCTAATTTTTCAAAGGTTTGAGATTATGGTTGGCATAAAATGAAAGTTAGAGTAAAATCTGCAAAAAATTCAAAAGTTCGAGACGCTACTGCAATATTTCCTAAAGCTTTCTACGTCTTTCCAATGGATTTTTTGGACGAATATCAAATATGAGATGTACTATTTAATGGACAAATGTAGGGGGATTGGGCTGATCCCATTTAAATTATTATTATTATTATTATTATTTTTGTGTTACGTGTAATTTTTTTTTTTTCCTTTTACATGTTAGCAAAGCTTGAAAAAAAAAAATTTATTCTGATCCTGAATAATGGATGTTGAAGATAAAAGCTTGACAAAAAGTTAAGAATATAGTACTGCAATAAGTAATACTTAAAAAATTTGAAAGTAATTAAAACGTGGTGTAATAATAAAAATGTTTTTGTGAATATAATAGAGGTAACGTTATTTCCGTCCACAATTTTTAAATATCCATCCACTTTTAGAAAATTGTGTTACGTGTAATTTTTTTTTTTTCCTTTTACATGTTAGCAAAGCTTGAAAAAAAAAATTTATTCTGATCCTGAATAATGGATGTTGAAGATAAAAGCTTGACAAAAAGTTAAGAATATAGTACTGCAATAAGTAATACTTAAAAATTTTGAAAGTAATTAAAACGTGGTGTAATAATAAAAATGTTTTTGTGAATATAATAGAGGTAACGTTATTTCCGTCCACAATTTTTAAATATCCATCCACTTTTAGAAAAAAATTATATTACATTTATAATCTTAGGTAAACTTAATTAAGTAGATAAGAATAATATTAAATAAATTCAATCACTTTAAATTCATCTATTAATATTTCGAAATAATTGCAGTTGGGTCCCAAACCTTTCTTTTTTTTTTTTTGCACAATTAAGATAACTTTTTTCATAATAAATAGAAATGATCATACGAAATGCATAAACTCGACTATGCCCACATTCTAAAGGAAATTTAAACGATTCTGGTCAAATCAATTACTTTCTACATCATTCGATATTGCATTAGTTTTTTATTTTTATTTTGAATCATGTTCAGACATTTTGGTATTTGTTGTTTCATGGTAGTTCTTATTATTATTATTATTTTTTTTTTTTGATATCCAGGTATCCCAACTTACACCAGACTAAATCCTGGACCTCCAAGACTCATGCCCCTAGAACCTTGAAGGGGGTAAATCGCGGATTATGCCTCAATTGGATCACAGGTTCTCCCCATTGACTGTACATTTCTGCGCACAAGAGACCCTCCTCCACAGTGATTGCTCCATACCAAATATTTGGCTGCAGGTTCCCACCAGGAATTGAACTCTCCACCCTGCTGCTGGAAGCAAGCCAATGTTGATTGATCCACCAGTTGAGCTGTGTCCCGGGGGGGCATAGTTCTTATTATTCTGTCCAGACGGATGGGTCAATAGCTAGAGTAAATCTTTATCAATATTTTATAACACAAATATGAATAAATTTAGTAGGACCCAAATTTAACACCAAAAGAGTTGCTGTTACTCTTTGACTCCTAGTAATTTAACCTTTTAACTAGGAGCCTTTTTTTATTTCTGAGAAATTTAATCTTAAAACTCTCTTCGTAAACTTTACAATTTGTAATTGCGTTCATCACTGATCTCGCGATTAGTAAAAAGTTTGATGAAATGTTGATGTGGCCACATACGTGGCACTATGTCTCAGCTGATTTGGCATCAACTTATGTATCCATGTGAGATCGCGATGAATGAGATTACCGATTGCAAAATTTAGTGATGAATTGGGTAGAAATGACAAAAATACTCATCAAACCCGATACTCGTGGGCTCTGCCCTTGAACGGGATGGCGTTTACCCACTTAATCAAGTAAGCAGCTAGGGTACGGATAAAGGTCGCCCCGCCTTGCCTCGCCCAGTTAATTTTTTTTTTTTTCAAGAATTCAATACTTTAAGCTTGGTTTGATTCCATTCTTTTTAAAATACATTTTTCTATCTCTTTTTTTCAACCAGACATTCTTTAATAAAATAACATAACATGTGAATTTAAAACTTTTTCCTTACTTTTTAAGTACACATTTTCCATCAATCTACTATATTAGAAAATAATGGAGCTCAAATATGCCCTAAATAGAATTTTTTTATTAATTATAATAGAATATGACAACTAAGATCATCTAAGAAATATGATAAATAATAAAAACATCTATTTACCAAATATGTTCAAATAATTTAACTTTTAAAAATAAATTAATTAATTAAAAAATTTAGCACGTGTTTGGTTAGGATTTTAAGCTAATTAAAATCAATTTTTTATTGTTATTTCACTATTCCAACCGTCATTTTTGAATTTTTCTCTCATGGATAGGACTCATTTTTACTTCTATCGATCAAAAAATCAATTCTCAAAATCCTCACCAAACACCCTCTTAATAACTATATTATTGTCTCACTTGAATGGAGACATTAAAATTACATATCAAGAATTATATAAAAAAAATTAAATAGGTACGTAGACGCTGCAACCGTTCCCTCGCCTTAAACGGGTAACCCCCGCCCAGCCCCAAATCCCGCCCCGTTGCCATCCTTAGAGTGGGGTGATTTTTTATGTTCAGTGACCTCATGAAGCCTTTTGCAAAATTAAGTGACAATTTAGATTATTGTTCACACTTCTCTAATAAAATAATATTATACGTAAATCCAATTTTTTTTAAAAAAAATTTAACTATACATTTTCTAAAAAATTACTATTCAAAAATATATTTTTCCCTTCTCTCTACAAAAAATAATATGTAAATAAAAAGGTCTTGAAAAAATTAACAGCTGGCAAAAGAGAAAGACATGAGTAAATATTAATCATTTTCAACGGCATATTCTTCAAGAAATCACTATTCCAAAACTCATTTTTCAAGATTTTTTTTCCTTTATAGAGAGGAGGGAAAAAATGTATTTTGGAATAGTAATTTTTAGATAATATATGATTTAAAAACAAAGAAAATTTTTGGATTTATGTGTAATATTATTTTATTAGAGAATGTATGGATAATAACCCAAACGGTCATTGATCTTTGCAAAAGACTTTCACGAGATTACTGAACTTTAAATATTACCTCATTTATTGCTAAACTTTACAATTTTTAATCCCGTTCATCACTGACCTAATATGGTTGCATATGTGGATGCCAAATTGGTTGAGACATAGTGTCATGTATACGGCATGTCAGTATTCTATCAAATTTTTGACTGACTGTGAGGTCAATGATAAACGTGATTACTAATTGCAAATTATAAATGATGAATGGAGTGATTTTTTAAAATTAAGTAATCATGTGAAAATCTTTTACAAAGTTCAGTGATTATTTGGTTTATTATCTCGCATTCTGGTGTAAGAAAGTTTCTAATGCATGTAAATTTGTTCAATTTTGAATATTACTTCAATCTTTCCGTACATTAAGCAAATTTTCAATAGCACTGTTGAAATAAATAGAATCTTGAAAGCCCTCTTTTGATCCGGAGAAGAAGGAAAATTAAGACCCATTTGATACCCATTATTTTTCATTAAAATGAAAAATATGACCGTTATCCATCACATCAAGCCACCACATTTGACTTTTTATTTCTTGTGTGGGCCTCATAACGACTATATTTTTCATTTTCATTTTCACAATAATGTGGTTCAAACGGGGACTAAGTGTTTCTATTATTTCAAGGACAGAAATAGACTTAGCAGCACGCACAAAATTTGACAACTTTGATTGGAAGATATCACAAAGAAAAATTGATTATAGGACCTGATTCTTGAAGATGAAGAAAACAAAAAGTAGTATTTCTTTTCCAATTGAGTACCATTAACCATTAATTTTTTGAATTTGAATTTTGATACGAGACGTACTCGATTATGGAAACTGGGTTTTCAATCTAAATTTTCTTGATTGCAAAAGGAGGCAGGGAAGAAATAAAAAAAAATTAAAGAAATGAATATATTACTTTTTAATGGGGATCTTCAAGTGATTAAAATAAGGTTGAAATATTGCGGACAAATTTAGTAATTTTTTAATTATAATAGGGATAAAAAAGTGTGATGAATATATAAAACTAATGCAAATATATAGTGTTAAAATGAATAAATTCATTGAGGTTAATATTGTAATAAATGTGGATGAATATACTACTTTTTATAAAATTTAAAATTTTAATTGGATAAATTCCGTTTGTCCCCATTTGGGTAAATGAAAATAGGTAGAATAGTATTTTTTTTTTTTTTTGAAAAATGAGTTATTGAAAAAGAAGGAAAGGTTCTCGATTTACATGAAATATATTTTATGGAAGATTGTTTGATTGAAAATAAGAGAAAAAAATGAAATGTAAAGAAAATGAAATTAATGGGTGCCAAACAAGAACTTAGGGTGTGTTTGATTACATTTATTTTCCATGGAAAATATCAGTTTTCCATCCAAATTTTCACTTTGAGTGTTTGATTGCTATTTTTTTCCATGGAAAACATTTTCCAACTTTTGAAAATATGCCTAATTTTCCTTGTTTTTAAGGAAAATATTTTTCTTGGGTAGAGGTGATTTTTATTTTTCACAAAAGATGGAAAATATTTTCTTTTCTAGGTAATATTTTCCATGTCAATTAAACACACCCTTAGAGTGATATAGATATATAAAAATTGTAGATGAAAATAGCTGCCGCCTATAATGGAACATTGAACTCTAAAAATATTGTCCCTGCATATTGAAAATATTTCCACTAGACCACTATGCGTTATCCTCATCTAAATCCAATCAAAAATCTTCTCCCATTTTTGCTTATCTCCGACTCTCTTCAATGGAAACCATTCTCTCTCCTCACTCTTTCTGTCCACTTTTCAAGGCTCCTCCTTTTTCCTCTCACTCTCTCCAACCCAAATCAAGTTCTTGGCTCAATCCAATTTGCTGCACCCTCAAAAAACAACAATCTGTTAAACAATCTTTTACTGCACCCACAAGTTGGTTTTCTCGAGTGCATCAGGGATTAGCTGCCCTTGCCATTTCTTTGGCCCTAAACTTTTGCCCAATACTGCCTAATGAATCTGCAGTGGCGTCTGAATTTGATGTTTTAAATGATGGTCCACCAAAGGAGACATACGTCGTTGATGATGCAGGTGTGCTCAGTCGCGTAACAAAGTCTGATTTGAAGAGATTGTTGTCGGATTTGGAGTCAAGAAAAGGCTACCACATTAACTTTGTCACTGTCCGCAAGCTCACTGTAAGCATTTCTATTTGTTTTGCTGCACGTTTTATTGTTGTCAGGATTAAAATCCCCTGTTGAAATGAATTAGGTTCTGTAAATGTGTGTACTGTAATAAAGTTATAGCTCATTGGTTTTAGTCCTTAGATTTAAGAATGTCTATGGAGGAAACACATATATCTATTTAAATTTAATCTTCAACGAGCTCTCACTTGCAGTCTAGACTTTATTTTGGTAGATTATGATAATTTTGCATAATTGGAGGCGGCCTGTGTATCTAAAAGCATAAATTGTTAGAAAGGGGGCACGATTGTTCTTGAAATGTAGTTTTCAACACTGACTTGTTCATGTCCTTTACCAAAGAGCAAAGCCGATGCATTTGAGTATGCTGACCAAGTTCTGGAACGTTGGTATCCTACTCTAGAAGAAGGCACCAACAAGGGCATAGTTGTTCTTGTTACCAGCCAAAAGGAAGGTGCAGTTACAGGTGGCCCTGATTTCGTCAAGGCTGTTGGCGATAACATTCTTGATGCTACTGTATCGGAAAATCTTCCAGGTATCACGTCTTTTTCACTTCTATCCAAATTGTGATGAATGTGTTAAACGTTATCGATTGGAGTAGATAGTTGAGTATATATGTGCACACTTCTCGTAGACATGTTTACGCTTGATGAAAATTGAAAATTCCCCGAATCCTTATTGTAGCTGGATGAAATTAGCTGTATTAGGAGGATTTCAAGAAGGATGTCAAAAGGCAGCTTTGTAAATTCTTCAACTACTGTAAAAGTGCTCAGAGAGTTTTCTCCTCTTTTTGTAGATAAATGATGAAGTTCAACAAATTTGGGGAGGTTACATTAACACTGAATATTGTTTTTAACGGAGCATAAACAGATATTTTAAGTATGAGAAATAGTTGAATATCATCAAAGGCAGAGATCAAACTTTACCTTTTGTAGCTTACATTGGACTGTTAAGTTGCTTTTTCCATATTTTGTGTCATGCATTCAAGAATTGTTTAATTTTGAGCGCATCTCCATACTCATGGATCCTTGTGGATGAAAGTTTCCTAGGTGGATGATATCGGCTCACTCATTTAAGCAAATGATGTTGAAATACTACATAATCATTAGCATTTTAGGAGTCTATCCTCAATGACATTGCTGATTGTCTTTTGTAGTCCTAGCCACGGAAGAAAAGTACAATGAAGCACTATTTAGTGCTGCCAACCGGCTTGTGGCTGCCATTGACGGGCTTCCTGATCCTGGTGGCCCCCAATTTAAGGACAACAAAAGAGAATCTAACTTCAAAACCAGGGAGGAGACAGAAGAGAAACGAGGTCAGTTCACACTTGTAGTTGGAGGTTTGTTAGTGATTGCTTTTGTTGTTCCTATGGCACAATACTATGCTTATGTCTCAAAGAAATGAGATTATTACATCTTTTTCTTATCCAGAATTTTTTATTTCACTTCGAGTTGAGTGAATGTGTAAAATGATCACCATATGTTCATATTGAATACTTGATTTTTATAACCTTAAATCAGTAAAATATAACATCAATTATAACTTCTTTCTTTTTTTCCTCCTCATTTTTTCGTTTCATGCAAGATCCTTTTAGCTTTCTTTCCTGTCAGTAGCCTTTGATAGCTCTTATCATTGAGAATTTTCAGTGGACATCAGAAGTCATAATCCAGGAACCTAAATCGAATAAGAATTGTAGGAACATGATAAAATAAAAGTACCATGAACTAAGATATCCCTATTTATGTATTTTTTGAAACCTTGTTGATAGGTAATTGAAAGCATTTTTATATTGAAAAATTGTATTTTCACTCTCGAAGCCGTTAACCAACTCATTCTAGCTGACGAGCGGCTCGCACGAGGTTTTTGTTGTTTGGCTCGACTTGCACCAAGTGGCTCGTCCAGCTCTCTGGTTCTTTGTTGGACAAGCACATCTTAACAGAACAGTAATTCTCATACCAGCTTCAAAGTTTCTGGTGGGATTACTGTTCTGAGCCTGGAGTTCTTGACAGGTTGATAAACCTTGAAAAGTGTTGTTTGCACTTGAGAAGTATTTCCATGCTGGATGACAAAAGATGTATTCGCCTTATAGTATTGACCATGATGTACCGGGTGGATACATAGTTATCCTTGAATTAAGGACCTTAATTAGTGTTGTTGACTTGGAAAATGGACCTGACATGTGGCCAGTAGAAAATAGCTTCACATAGGCTCCTCTCTGCTCACTTTTAACTCACCATTAGCCACTTGTAGCTTTTTTCGATGTTGGGTGAGGTCGCTAATACTCTGACAATCAAGTCAGCAAAGTGATAAACGAAAACGGGTAATTCCGATAGTGGGAACTATCGAAATTTGGATATCACAATGAAATGGGGAAGAAGACATGGGTATAGGTATCGGAAGAGGTGAAGGAAGGGCAGTTAAATGTGAAGCATGTGTCGTCATTTGCCTATCGAAGTATTCCTTCCTAGAGGTCAATCTCACTTCAGAGGTAAGCAAGCATTTAATGCTTCTTGACAAAGTAAATTCGACTTGACACTTTGACGTCTGAATGGGTGTCCCATCGATCAGTCATAAGGATTTTATTTTGGATAAATTTTTGTATAAAAGATCTCTTGGCATGTTGGGATGAAGCGCCGTGACTTTGCACCCTCGTCACTTCTTCGGTTCACTTGAATTGAATGGAATCACTTCGGCACTTCGGAGTTTATGTGATTTTGATCAGTTCTCCTTCTCCTTCTCCTTCTCCTCCGAGGTTTGGGGTCTCATTGTAGTAACATATCGGGTGATGTAGAGTGTAGGGCTTGACATCTGCCATGTGACTCATGATCTGAAGCCTCGTTGGGAGAGGCGTAACGAGTGTTTTATTATTTATTTTCTATGTGATACGGTTAATTGAACAAATTAAATTGGTTAAGCAATAAATTATATAGCATATATTTCTTTCTTATTTCTGTACAGTTTTATTCAAACCAGGGTATCAATCATACACAAACAAATAAGTTTTCGCTTAGAACTTACAAAGTACAGATGAAACTTATAAAAAATTAAAAACCTCAAACTTATGTCCACAAATTGCAATACTTATTATTCACTGCAGACGATTTTGCATGCTTTATTCCACCTATACAATTAGTTAACGAAAAATCAAACTTTTTTCCCATTATTTTCTTAAAAATATAATTAAGAAAACCTCAATCAAAATTCAAGCCATCATCATTTGCTGAAATTCATGATAATCAAGTTCGCCATTACCATCCATATCATAAACTTGAATCATGGCTACACACTCATCATATGATTTTGAGTCCCCTAATCGACTCAAAACCCTCTGCAAACTTCTGGGCGTGATCCGACCCGACCCTTTCTCCAATTCAAATATTTCGAAGGCCCTTCTCAAATCCTCCTCTTCACTTTCTTTCTGCATTAGTTTCATAAAATCTTGAAAATCCAGAAAATTATCCTTATCTGTATCAAGATTGTTGATCACTATTTCAGCATCCTCGTGTGACATATACTCTCCCACAGATCCAAAATAGGATCTTAGTTCACATGCAGAAATTTTCCCATCATTATCACCGTCAAAACGACGAAAAACTTCCTTGAACTCCTCCTCCCTGGAGTTGATACAACTCGAGTTTCTTCGTGGTGTCATAATTGGTGATTTCCGAGTCCCGGGAGAGTTTAATGATTTTGATTTGGGCTTTAGTAAGCTCAATGTAAGCTTCTTCGGAGAAAAACTACGAAAAGATTTGCAAATTTTAATGGGTTCCATTTTTTGTGACGTAAAGATGAGTTTCTGACCCTTGATATATAGGGGTCAGGGTCGAGTATTGTGTAAAAAGATTTGCAGGAAAAAGGATAGAGGAAATTGTAGCGCAGGTATAGTCAGTCTTGGAAAGTTGGGGCAATGGAATTGCCATGAAATTGCTAGGTAGATCTTTAATTAATAGGTTAAACTTTCGAATGCAGGAAACTGCATGGAAATTTCTTGGGGCCCCAAATAATTGACTTAATGCTGACCTTTCTCTAGTCTCGCGTAGGCACTCCGCAAACCCATTATGGGAATTGAAATAAAAGTGAATGAAAGATATGATTAAAAAGTTTTGAAATTCATAAAATATTTTATTAAAATTAATTATTGATTTTAATTTCGATTAGTTAAAAAATTTTAATTCGTACCAACATGGGCAAAATGTCTTATTAAGGGCCCGTTTGGTGGGGATTTTGAGAATTAATTTTTTGACCGTTAGGAAAAAAGTGGGGTCCACATGTGAGAGAAGATGTCAAAAATTACGACTTGAATAGTAAAATAACGGTCAAAAAATCAATTTTTTGGGGCAAAAAATCCCTACCAAACGGGGCCTAAGTCACTATCGGGCTCTAATTTTTTAAAATTTAGGTTCCATTTGATTCTCATTCTTTGGCCATAAAAATGAAAAATACGACTGTTATTCATCACATCAAGTCATTATATTTGACTTTTTATCTTTTATGTGGGCTCCGTAACGGCTATATTTTTCATTCTCATTCTTACAAAAAATAATTACCAAACTTGCTCATTCAACTCATTTTTAATTATATATATTTTATAGGATTCATATTTTTATCAATTTTCGAATCACAAATTTCATCTACTTTTATCGAATAAAAATTTCAATTTTAGCGAACCAAACAGATGTTAAAAGCCTGAACGAGTTAGCCGGGCTCGCCACTCTAGTGTGGTGACTTATGGCACAATTCAAACCTATTTTACACCTCTACAAAGTGGTAAGGGTTCGAGAAAAAGTGGATCCGGGAGGTATGGCAATGTAGGATTATCGAGTATTTTGTTTGGAAGAAATGAAGAAATTTTTTCAAGTGTAAATTAAATCTCATAATATACTTTTAAGATGTTTAAATTGTTTAATTGAGTCAGACACATTGGTACTTTGTAAATGTGTGCAAGCATATAAATACCCCGATTGGCCCTCATTAATTTTTATTCAATTTCTCTCTTATTTTCAATCACACAATCTTTCATAAAATAATGTTACACATAAATCGAAATATTTTCCTTCTTTTTCAACCACCCATTTTTTTTAAAAAAAAATGCTAATCCGCCCATTTTTATTTTCAAAAAATGGGAGCTAAACAGTGCAAGATATGGGTTGCAAACTTGCAATTGAGTCCACATGCAAAAACCAAAAAGTTACCTAACAAAATTAGGTTTATACCAATTTTATTAGTGGCTTTGGACGGTCAAAGATCATTGAGCATTTGCCTGATTCGAAACGCATTAAATATGGTATACAACGCGCAAAGTATGAATAATCATAACGTTTCAGTTAGGGATGAATATGATTTAGTTTAGACAATTTATGAAAAAATTTCAAATCAAATCAAGTGGTTTGAAATTTTTCCAAATCAAACCAAACTCCAATTTTTAAGTGCTTGTTAGGTAGGAAATTTGACAATTGATTTTTTGACCATTAGAGATAAATTGGATCCTACATGTGAGAGAATAATTTAAAAACAAAGAATAATTTAAAAATGACGGCTGAAATAGTGAAATAACGGTCAAAAAATTAATTTTAATTGACTTAAGTCTGTACCAAACAAGCACTAAATCAAACCAATCCAAATTACTTTTTCTGGTTTAATTCGGTTTAACAACAAAAAAATTTGCATACATCAAATAAGTTAAATCATAAGTATTAGTCTAAAATTTCATATTAAAACATAAATAAAGTTCTATAATTCTGATCATTATAATGTAACAATGTGATAAAAATATTATAACATCTTAGTCGATACTAATTAGTGCAACATCTGCAATTGTAAATCATGATTTATTATCCCCATAAAAATAAAAGTATAATACATGAATTCATTAATTATAGTTAAATGATATCAAAATAAAAGAATATGAATCGAAAGATCATATACGATATAATTCTATAACTTCTTGTGAATCATCAAATTATCTATCTTATCCAAATATTGATGAATCACCATAGGCTCCTCATTACTATACATCCAATTTTTATGGAAAATCGTCGCCTCAATATGCACTCAACGAACTCATAAAAGGAATCAAGAATCCGATCACTAATAGAAAATGCATAATTAAAAAATAATTGTGCATATTTAAATAGTTAAAATATTTTTAGCATTTTGGAAGACAGTTATGTATTTATTTGTATTTAATTTTTACCAAAGTATTATGTCCAAAAGCTCATTAGTCAAATCTTTAAAATGACCATTTAAGTAATCCACCAAATTATTCAAACAATTAACAGTGAAATCTAGAAACTAAGTTAAAATGTAAATAATTAATTAATTGATTTGACTAGAAAATTGAATGCAAAAATAAAACAAAAAAATATTGTTAATTAAAAATTCAAGGTAACCTACACAAATTAGAACCCCAAAAAAAAAAATAATAAATTGAAATATAGCAAATAATTAACAAATATAAGAAAAATTGCATAAACTGACTTGATAAGATAGCCAAAATTTGAGAAAATTATTAGTAGAAGAAAAAGAAATGTGTGAATTTGAAGTAAAATCTATATTTAATTACCTACTCAATTTAATGGAAGATCGATGAATATAATTCAATAATGATTGTTCAACACTTCACTCAATTTGAGGGTTTTGCATTTACAATTGTGACGATTGCTGGGCATAATTTAATTAATTAATTTGGATAAATAATTATCTATTTAGATATCGAGTTTAATTGAATTATGTTTACTATAAATGTAACTTTTTAGTTGGGATGTGTTCAATTTTAGCATTTGTTTGTCAATCATTCTCTCATATTCTATTACATTATTTTTTCTACAGTACTCATTTTTAATCATACATCGTTCATTAAAATAATATTACACATAAATAAAAAAAAATTCCTTCTTTTTTAACAACACATTTAAACATCAATCACTATTCAATACTACAAGTTTTGAAATTAAAGGGCCACAAACAGGGCCTTAATTAGATTGGATAAAATCTAAATTAATTTATTTTCAATTTTTTTTAAACGACTCACAGATTGAATCGGTTTGCAAATATTGAAATCTAAACCAAACTAATTATTTGACTTGGTTCAAAATCAAAACATTGATGGATCCATGTGGATCCAAATCAAAGATTTCAAAAAAGCAATTCGATTTGATTTAATAATTTGATGATTTTGTTGTTTCGTCCTGGTTTCAATTATCTTTGCCTATTATTTGTAATATTTATTTTCGTGTGTTTTAATGGGTCTTATTTTGAATTGTATAAATAAAAAGGTGCTTTGCGCGGGTAGTCGCTAACAATTAAAAAGGGATCAGATGATTGTGTAAGGAACAAACCTCTTGAGATAAAGTCTCAAAAAGGGGTGTTTTATTGGCGATAACTTTACAATTGGAATTTAAATAGAATGCCTCCAAGGGGCGCAAGCACACGAGTACTGAAAAGAAATGTTTAAATATATACTAAGAAATTGAAATTACATATTCTCTGTTTGAGAGTATTTAATTCGGGATCCTTTGCTCTATGTCTTTTCTTCCTTTTATATTCCCTTGATGATCTCTTCGTGATCAACCGCTTAGAAACTACTTAATTGCTTTATAACTGCCCACTTTCTTCATGGTGGCCAACGTATCGTAGAACTGCCGTCTCTAACTGCTGCCACTACTCTTTGTCGTTCAACCGTCTTTAACCGAACTCCTTGAATCGTGGAACGTGATAAGATTACTCAATAACTGTTTCGATAATTGCACTTTTGGATAATCATAACATCTTATGTTTGCTAAGATCCTGGGCGATTCGAAGGTTTGGACGAGAACAGGGTCATAACTCTGAGCTACTGCAATGCACTTCATTCGCTCAAATCTTGGGCGTCTAGCAAGTTTGAGCGATAGTGTTACCGTGTTCGTAGACTTCCACTGCATTCATTAATAACCCTATTTGGGCCTTTATCTTGAATTGCCCAGTTGGGTTTCATTCTTTGGGCTATTCGATTTGGGCTGCACTTTTAGCGTGTCAACAATTACCCCCTCAATATGGCAGAATTAATACCAATTATTAATTTTTGCCATATTTACTTTGTGTTTCCTAGTAACATTTGAAATTCCCAAAAATTTCAATCATTATTTCATTCCATAGCCTGAAAAAGTGCGACGCTACAAACCCTTATAAACTCCAAAGACACGTCATTTCGTTGTACCATTAACTCACGTATCATTATTCCGCGCTTCTTTCTCGCAATATTACTGTTCATCTTCTTGCTTCTCTGCTACGTTTTTCAAGCAAACTTCAACAAAACTTTATTTCGTTCCCTATGGCTTCTTCACAAACCTAATCTGGTGACTGTTTCAGTTTCGAAGATTTTCAAAAAATCCTCACTCGGGCATACATAACTTCGAACTTCCTTGCACCAGCCAATGCCGAACTCGATAAGTTCTATCTAGGTCCTTCATTCAACAATGACGAGGCCGTCGAACAAGTGGCGGTGGGCCAGCTGTTCCCTTGTACTCAAGGCCCTCCGTTTCTGAACTCTTTGCCGCTGAGGCCGCTTCGCGAAAGAGGTGTTCACATTTGGCTTAAATTTGATGTTATTTTTCGTAGATGGCATGCTCGCCTTGTGGGCCATGGTCCTACCAAGGCAAATTTTGATAGTGTTAGAATTTCTGATTTGTTAGAAATCTCTCCTCAACCCTCAATTTTTGATCCAACACTTTTTCCTATTTCTTTAAGTTTTTGGTCCTCTGAGTATAATACTTTTGTTTTCCCTCTTGGTCCCATGTCCATTACCTTATGGGATGTTGGGGCCCTAGTAAATTTGCCAACTTTGGGCGATACCATTTTTCCTGGTATTTTAATTTCTGGCGTCGCCCCAAAATTTGACAAAAAACTCACTGAGTCCTATTCAAGCCTGCAAAGCTGTTATAATCACTCGAGCG